CACCCCCACACCCCCCACCCCCCCCCACCACCACCCCACCCACCCACACCCCACACCCACCCACCCCCACCCCACCACCCACCTCCACACACCCCACCACACCGCCACCACACACCCCCCCCCCACCGCCACCCACAACCCCCCACCCCCCCCCCCCACCCCACACCACACCCCCCCCCCACCCCCCACACCCCCCACCCCCCCCCCACCCCCATCCACCACACCCCCCTCCCCCCCCCCCACACACACTCCCCAACCCACCACAACCACCACACCCAACCACACACACACACACCCCCACCCACCACACACCCACCACACAGCCCCACCCACCCCCCCCCACCCCACCACACACCCCACACAGCAACCCCCCCACCCCACCCACCCCCCCCACACCCACACCCACCACCCCCACACCCACACCTCCACCACCCCACGCCACCCCACACCCCACTGCCCCACACCACACCGCACCACCACCCACACCCCCCCCACCCCACCACCACCACCCCCACCCACCCCCCACCATCCCCCCCCCCACACCCCCCCACACACCCACACACCAACCCCCAACCCCCAACCCACCCCCCACACCCACCACCCACCACCCACCCATCAGCCCACACAGCCACAGCACATCCGCACCCAAACGCACCACCCCACCCCACACACCCCCCCACACCCTCCGCCACCCCCACCCCCCACCACCCCACCCCCCCCCCCATCACACACCACCACCCCACCCCACACCCCCCCCCACCCAACACCCACCCCCCACCACCCCACCAATATGGATAATTTCATTAAGTGTTTCAATATTAGTATTCTGGTTCAATTTCTACAACTGATGTTTCGTTAAATATTTTAGTTTACATTGGGCTTCCTTGAACTCAAATTACTTAGACATTCTCGTTTTCTTTATCAAATTCTTCTCTAATTATTTTTTACATTTAAATTGTATATAGTTATTATCATTTACAAGAATTCGTATTCGCTTAGAACAATGGACTTGTTTAAGGGATTGGGGGGGGCTCGAATCTTATCTTGGTAGGATGTTGGTTGAAAATTGTGGGATAAGTAAGGTGAATAAATGGTATCTTCCTGAAAGATGACGGCTACCTTAATGTTCCTGTAACTGTCGTAGTCTTTGATTAGGTCCAGTTCTGTTTGGGTTATTATGTCGTGGAACTATGCCTAACTTAGAAAAATTATTTGTTCTATGTCGTCTATGTGATTTCTTAAGAGTGTTTTATGTCATTGTTAATCCTATATGTATGTTCGATAATTGATTTCGTCTTCTATTTTTGTATTCTGTTCAGTGTAGAATATTTAAACGTACGTATGTAGTCGGTTATAGAGCTTGTTGGTTGTTTATGTGGGTTGTAATGTTGTCTATCTGTTGTGTTAAGAATCTGTTAAAGCATGTTAATTTGATGTTGTCAGTGATTGTTGTTCATTGCTGTGTACCTGATCTAATGCGTTTTAATTTCTTGTTCATCATCACTGTCCATGGACCTGCTATGAATTTAGCCCTTACCTAGTACGAACTAGTCCTCGCTTGGTTTTTGGGTGTGGTCGTAGCTTATCTATTTTGCATTTAGTAATAAAATTTTCGTTAATGGATTCTAAAACCTGCGTGTCTTCGAAAGAAGCTGTTTTCAAAATTTATGTTGTCCGTGATACGTAACATCGTGTCTCTATGTAGTCAGGTTAATGAATGTAGTACCTTGTCATAATGGTTAATTGTCTTCAGTTCTCCTGTCTTGATTGGTTATACCGTTGTTGTTCGTCAAGTCCTGCACACTCATCTGTTGGTTTTTGACACCAGAATGAATGTCCAGAAGAAGATGATCGTTAGTAGCATTTTCCTGTTGGAGTGAGGGTAACTTGTTTAGTATTGTTCTATATATTTTTTGTGAACTATCCTGCCTGACTTTGTTTTAATGGTTGTGTTAAAGTTCTCCGCTCGATCTCCTTCTCTATATAGCTGATAACTTATTTCCTAATCTTTGATTTACCTTTACAAATATGATATCGTCTTTGAAAAGTTTTCGGTGGTTGTCTATCTTTGTTATGATAACAAAGTTCCTGTTGTTGTTTATTAATTTTCTCCTTGATTTCCTGCTCTCTCTCTAGAAGGTCAGGGTCGCTACTAATTCTCCTCCCAAAAATATTTTCGATTGGTTTTTCCGTCGTAGGCACGAGTGATTGTACTCTTTAACGGATTTTTCCATAATTCGCTGAAGGATCTGTGGTCTTCCCACTTGCCGACAGCGCATTATTTCTTGCAGGGTGGAATGAAGCGCTCAACTTGTCCGTTAGAGCAGCTAGAGTATGGGTGTTCGATATATTTCTGTACCGAATTCATTGTAATCATGAAGTTTATTGATTCTGAGTTAAAGGATCTTATTGTCCATTACTATTGTTTCCGGTACTAAAGTGAAGAATATCCCTCAGTGGTTGCCTTATATCTTCGGTTGCTTTGGAGCGAATAACCTTTGCTATGCATATTTAGAAAATTTATCCACAGCTGTTAGAATAAGCTGTTTACCCATTAATAATATGTCTATATGGACTATTTGACCTGAAACTGAGGATATAGTAGCTTGTATCTGAGGTTTTGGTGGATTACGCTCGTATTTGTTTTCTTTGCATGTAATGCATGCTTTGATAATTTTCTTAATTTTTTTGTCATCCCAGGGAAATAATACCTTTCCAAAATTTGTGTTTTATTTTCTTTACTATTCCTGTGGGCTCTATTGTGTGTTCTTAATTATTCCTCTTGCTTTTTCATCAGTTATATCCTCGATTTCTACCTGTGTAAACCTGATTCGATACTTGCTAAAATGTACTGGTATAATTCCTGTATTTTTCCCATATGGGTTCCTCTGTTTAATGCAGTTTATTACTGATGGGTTGAGTATCGCTTGAGGTTTGAGATAAGCGTTTGTTGGGAAATCTGGTCTTTAATTACATGTCGATGGTATGTTGGAAATATAATTCTGAAGATAGACTTCGTCGTTTTAGAAATATTGATTTTGAAAGCGTTAATAGGCGCTTGAACGCTATATATTAGATTATGGATGAACTGTCATCTGAATTCGTAGCCATAGATAAAGTGTAACTGTTTTCTTATGAGTATTCTTGATAGGGCGTCGGCAACTACTTTTGTTTGCCTGGTTTGTAAAATAGTCGTAAGAGTACCTCGAGAGCTGCCTTCCACCTTTTCATTTTCGAGTTGTTATTTTTATTGCTAAGCGCGTATGTGAGCGGTTGGTGGTCTGTAAAAAAGTCCACCTTGGCTGATCCATACAAAAGTTCCTAAATGAGTTTAAGGCCCAGATTATGGCTAGCATTTTTTTTCATTTGCTGCATAATGTTCTTCTGCCTTACTCAAAGTTCTTGAATGAACGCCAATGGCTTAGAATCTTGGGATAGAACGGCTCCAAGAGCAAATTTGGAGGCGTCTGTTACTAGTTGAAAACTTTTATTGTAATCGGAGTATGCTAGTACAATGTCTTCAGAAGTGAGTGAAAGTTTTATGTTGTTGAATGCTCTAATGGCATCCTCGTTCAAAAATATTTGAATTTTGAAGATTTATTTTTTTTATTCTACCTTCTTCTCTTAGAAGAGAAGTTAGGGTTTGCCAACTTTGCGTGTCTCTTATAAATCTACGATAATATCCTGACATCCAAGGAAACTTCGAAGCTCTTTCAAAGTTGCTGGTTGCGGAAGTTTGCAATTGTTTCAACCTTCGCAGGGTTGGTTTTAATTCCATTTGGAGATATAATATACCCTAGGAACCGACTTCTTTTTAAAAATTTACATTTGTCCAACTGGACTTTATGTTGGCCTCTTCTAGGGTTGCAAAGACCTTCTTAATATGATTAGGTGTTCGTCCTCAGTTCTGCTAAAGATGATGATATCATCGATTAAGACGTAACAGTACTTCGCTATATGTTCACGAAGTATGTCGTCTAAAGCTCGCTGAAAATAGGGAGCATTTTTTACCCGAACGGAACCGAGTAAATGTATTTGCCGCCTTTTATTGAGAATGCTGTTTTATGTCAGATTCCTTTAAAGAATCTGGTGAACCCCTTTTCAAATCTAAAACGGAGAAGAATTTACTTTCTCCAGGTTTGAAATTACCTCCGATATCTCCGGTTGGATATCTATCGGCCATTGTAACCGAATTCAATTTTCTATAGTCTATGACCATGCGATATTGTTTGTTACCTTCTGAATCTGGTTTTTAGGTACAACCCATGGGTGAATTATACGGAGTCGGGATGCGCTATAATACCATCATTCAGTAATTTCTTTACTTGTGATTCTACCTCGCTTTTCAGCGTTGCTGGGTAGGGATAGAATTTAGATATACAGGGGAGTCAGTTTGTGTTCTGATTTGTCCATAATTTCGTAGTATACGTAAGCCTTTCATCGGGCTCGGAGAAAAGATTGGGATATGTTTCACATATCCTCCTAATATTTTTTGTTTGGGGATAAGCCTTCCTCTTATATTTATCGCGTTGACGCTATGTGAAGCTTGCTGCTTAAGTCTGACCATACGGCCATTTTTAATTTTATTTTCTGCAGTATGTATTACTGCTCCAGTGCCCTAAGTGTGTCGTTTCCCAGAATGGCATCGAATGTTTCAATAAGGGCATAAGATAGAATTTAATTCCTTTATGTTAAAGATATTTACATAAGTGTGTCCGTTATTTAACATTCCTACAATTGATTTTGCACGGAAAGGTTTTCGTTTGGTAATCGCTTTTTGCTAAGCTTGGTTTTACATAATTTTACTGGAACCTGTGTCCACCAGAAATTTTAGAATTTCCGCTCTCCGTCTTCGCCTCAATGTATGGAAGGAAGAGCTAATTATGCTAAAAATGACATCTTGTATTCTTCAAATTCATCCTCGTCCGCATTTTTGGATTGGGTCTCTTCAGTTGAGGTATCTATATGAAACGTTCTTTGATTTTGAGGGAGTTGATTGTTGACCGATTGTGGTGGTCTTTTACCCTGAAACTGATTCTTGTTCATATAGTTGATTTGCCGTGAATGTATGCTCTGGTCCACCTCCATTGGTTCTGGTTTAGGTTGAGGCTTCGGTGGCCTTGGAGGGGCATTTGTAGGTTGAATTTGGTTGGAAGACTGTTCGCTTTCCAGAGCCTCGCTACCATATCTACGCATCCCATTATTAGAATTAGTAGAATTAAGGCTTGTTACTTGTACTAGGTCAGAGCTGTTTGATCTGCGTTATGCATGTGCAGACATTTAGTAATTGCCAGCCAATCTAGGCCGTATATAGATTCTAATGCCGTATCGGCATTGCCCGTTATTTGTTTCGGATAACGCTAAGAATCCCGTAATATTTGGGGTTTCCTTTATGGTTCGTAATGCTAAGTATTCTGTCTACGCTTTTTTTCCCGAATTAACTCTTCAGGGCGACCGGAGAAATCTTTGAGACATTTTACTACATCTGGATTTTATCCAGTTCTCCATACCCGATGCCTATCTTCTATGGTTTGATCGATTGTTGTACTAAGAAAAGAGTTTGGGTTGAGTGTGGCCTGTACTACACCTGGCAACTTTTGTTGAAGAATGTTCGTTGCTATATTGGTTATTAGGTTTTTTAGGTCGTCCAC